CAAAGGCCTTTTACTCTCTGCATTACTCGGGCGTATCGCACAACTTCAAATATAGCACTTGATACTTTAGCTGGTACTCTTCCGTTATCAATCAGTGCAGAAATTGAATGCACCTATATGAAAGTCCTTCAACTTAACCAAGCCGCAGAATTCAACAACCAAACCTTTTGGCCATCCAACTATGAAAAGAAAATTAACCCCAATCTTATCCATCCAGCGCTTCGCTTCAGCAAAATAATATTCCCCACATCTGAAAAAAAATTAAAATTCATCTCCAATTGCTGATACTGATGGATCAAAAATTGAAGGAAAAGTTGGTTCCGCAGTCTTTTTTCAAATTACCCCCTCAAATATCATCAAATGAAAAAGCCATCTCCATAATAATAATAGTGTTTTCCAAGCGGAATTGTCAGCTATAAAAGCAGCGATTGAAATAGCCATTCTCAAAAATCTCAACGAATTTAGCATAAAATCTGACTCCCAAGCAGCTATTCTAGCTATTAAAAATCCCTTACCTTCCTCTCCATTGATATCTGACATAAATTCTCTTCTTGGCAAAATTCCAAACTACAAAATTCAAATTTCATGGATCAAAGGACATAGTGGCCATTTTGGTAATGATCAGGCAGATGAACTAGCCAAAGAAGCAGCTATTAATCAAGATGGTACTGAAATCATCATTCCGTGACCTCTCTCAAATTTCAAGTACCAACTAAAACAACTTGCTTCAAGATCTTGCAAGATTTGTGGAACAATGCTCCACAGAGAAGACGCACATATAACTTGATACCCAACGTAAGCTCCGCATCTCTGTACTCGAATCCTTCACTAAATTACTTTATAATAGGACATGGACCTTTCCCGACATATTTCTACGCAATAAATTTGGCAGATTCTGATATCTGTATATGTGGGGAACAGGGAACTCCTGATCATTACACTTCCTCTCATGCCCCTTAACTGAGGATATTCACATAAAATGCCCAAGAAACTGATCCTCCTGGCATTCCAAAGGTTTTTTTTTAATAGAAAGATAAACATCAATATCCAAAGTTTCAGAAAATTATGCAACGACTCTCTTCCTATGGCCTAGATCTCTGTCAAGTGTAAGTCCACATACAGTTTAAACTTAGTGAACTTTTACATGCTGTGATTATGGACAAAATGGCTCCGCTCGTGAACTTTATAAACTGCAATAAACCAATATATCTGAAATAACCCATGGACACCTACCTCTTTAGCATTATTATAACAATTCATTTTTTTAACATTGTGTTGCCAGTACTAATTATAATTATCTCATTATGTTTATTTGTTTATTAATTATGTTTATCTCCTATTTTTGTTGCACCAAATCAGATGTTTAATTTATCTTGTGAATCTCAAATGTTATTCCAACTATTTTGTAATCTACTATATGTCCTACATCCATTATTTTTAATAAATACTGGATGCGGGCGTACTGTGCAATTGCACGATGTACCATAATAGGCAAACTCTAGACCTTTTGGAAAGCTTCAGTCTATGTAAATTCCTATAAAACTTGCAATTTTCACCTTTTTTTAAAGAGTTAGTATGGGAAGGCATTACCAGTTGACCTATGGTACATCGCTGGTGTCCCCCATACTTTTACCTTTACCACTACACTCCGATGCTGCCACCACTAAATTTTATAGTCAGGGCAATGCAATCACTTAAGAAACTGCCAAATTCAGACGTGTCCATCGATTACCAGATTGTAAAGCGAGATTGATCACTCCAAAGAACATTTTTCTACATGTTCACAGTCCAATGACTGTGAACTTAGCACAACTGCAATTGATGCTTCGCAATCTGGGGAGTGATTTTCGGCTTGTAAAAGGCTGCACGACCATGGAGTCCTAGGCTTTTTAACTCTTGACGAACAGTCCTGCTGCTAGCATTAACGCGTGATGAACTTTGTAACTGATGAGTAATTTTAACCAACGACCATTTGCGAATTTTTTTCACTAGCATTTTCAGAGTTCTACGGCTGCGTTCACTAATTTTTTCTGCCTGCACTCCATTTTTTTGCGCTACCTCGACATTTCCACTTCACAGTTGCATCACTCACAGAGGATTTTGACTCCTGTAGAATGTCCGAGTTTTCACAAACTGATTTCCTGCAAAAGTTGCATCCCACTACACTGCCTATATACACTAAGCTCATTTGACTTACTCATTGTTTCACAAACGCATAAATATGAACTAAGAAATAACTACCAGCACTTTTATAGCTCTTGGTAAGGCATCAAATTTCATCACCTGCCAGATCTAATTCGTTAAAGGGTGTCAGGATACTTTTGGCCAGACAGTGTAGAAAGGAAGTTGTATCAGTGCCCTATTGCCCTCTGTTCACACTTTAAAGTGATACATATCAAGCAAATTACCATTCATTGTCCTTTGCACGGTACATGCCTTATATTTTATTTCAAGTGTTCCCAACCAGGGCCGTTATAAGTCCCTTGGTCGATAGCTGAATAAGGTTTAATGGAGATTTCGCTGATTACGAAAAAGTTATTAATATTGAAATTTCATGATTAATTTTTTATTTTTTATATAAAATTATATCATGTAGTAAGGAAGAAATCATATAAAATCATATCAGGGAAAAATACCGAATAATTATTTAGTACATTTTAAAATCAATAATACTTTTTTTAATACATAAATCTTTTATGCGAAAACTGCAATATAAAAAGTAACAGGAACACAATAAAATACAATCTAAAAAAGAGTACGAAGAACGCAAAGAAGTTACATTGTTACGTACAAACCACTTGTAAAATTTGAAGGAAGATTTTAATGTTCGTTTTCAAAACACTAAAAATTTGAATTTTGCAACAAAGCTCATAGAACGACTGAAGAACGATATTTCTGATCTTACAATTAAGATGCAAGAAGTAATGATCACATTTAAGGAGGATGTTCAAGCACAAGTTTTGTTCGAAACAATTGGAGATGCAAAGTTTTGCAATTTAAAAGTCAACCAAACAATATCTTAAAAAACAAAAGTTGTTAGCAAACAACACTATTGTCTATTCTTTCTTCCTACCTAATAAAGAAGTTATTAGTTAGTTAAGTCAGTAATTTACTATAGACAAGAAAAGAGAAACAGAATAATTTTAAAGAGATAATTCAAGAATTAAGCAAATTTATACCAAATATTAATAAAAATTGCAGCAATCACCAAATGCAAATGTTACATTAAGTACATCGAACTTTCGTACAATTAAGAATCGGTGATTTTGTTTCTGGAAAATTGTTTATATTTACAAAATTAAAAACAGGGATAATAGAATAAAAAGAACAAAATAGGAATCTAATAACCACTTTATTTTCTACTTTTGTTCATATTCTTAAAAAAAAATGTAAATTGTTGATGAAGAAAACTATTCTTTTAGAAGGACGCAATGCAAGGAAAGGTTGGGAATTTTTAGTTTCATTTGAACAACTATAACGCTACACTATGCTTTCGTTTATTGTATTTTACTTATATTTTAAAAAAATTGTGCATTAAAAATATCTTTATTTCAGTGAGACATTATACAGAACTCAATATTTTCACAAAATTAATGAAAGAAATTAATATTTTCTTTCATTGCTATTATAAGACTAGATCTTAAAGAAATTATAATACATCTTAGTCTCATGCGCAGGCTATCAAATGAAAGACATATACAATCATAATAATCAAGTCTTTTTTTATGAATAATCAAGTCTTTTTTTATGAATAATCAAGTCTTTTTTTATGAAATAATTGCACGTACCGCTATATGCTCTTAATTTACGAAATTATATCATAACATTTTTTTAATACTATTTGGCTCTATCTTTCAGAAAAGATCAGTTTAAATGTAGGATTCTGTAGTTTGTATTTTTAATATCTGGAGGATTAAAAGCTAATGAGCCTATCGTTACTACTTAGCTTAAAATCGTTAAAATTTCAATTATAATTTGAAAATAAGGATTAAGCTGCAAGCTTAGTGTTATGATCTTTATATTCTACAATTTCTAATTTTCTATAACTTTATGAAGCTTTAATTGCAATATTTTCGACAACAGCATTTTATAGTTTATAAATTAGAATTTTTAAAAGTTATTTTTTACTACGCTATTCCTTTCTATCGTGTAAATATGAAACAACGAAAATAATTGCTATTTGTGCAAGCCCAGATATTAAAGACACAATCATTATCTCATTTATAGTCTAGCTGTACGATTTTATGTTAATTAACCAGTTATCATGATTTGAACATTTACTTTAATTTCTTCTTTCCACAGTCCTCACCAGAACGCAAATTGATTGTTTGTGTATTTAAGCCATGGATTTGAATGCTTTTAGAGCTTCTGGCAGCCTCTCATTGTAGTTATTTACTATCGCTAGCTCTGCCAAATTACATTCCGGCTTCTGCCATTTTGCTAACCGACGTCTATATACGCGCTTTTACGTTACCTATTTTGTGTGCAGTCTCAGACTACCTTACTCGAAGTCAAAATTTCAATTTTATATTATTTTAAATACCCTCAAGTAGCCTAGTTTTGTGTCTAGGACAAACAGTGCCTCCTGTTAACTTCAACAGTTCTATAAAAGGGTTATTTTAGCCTTCGTAGGACTTTGTTACCTTAAATTCGGACTACAGAGATAACTTGCTTGTCAGCCTGGAATGGTCTGAAGAACAATGAGTTAAACTTCTAGACATATCAGAAAACTGTTTGTAGATCCAAAGTAAAAGAAATAAACATCTACATTTTGGAAAAATTAAGTTTTTCTTTTATTAAGGTTCATTCTAGGATATAGAAATGTGAAAATTCGAGTGAAAAATAATCGCCTTTGTGAAATACTATATAAATAGTGCTGTTCGTAAATTTGAAAATGAAGCTTCATTATAGCAAACGACTTACACAGATAGAATGGTAACGCATTCAAAGCGACAGAAAGAAAGCAAAAACAAATAATTGTAAAATAATATGCCACAGACCTGGTCCTGTAATAGTTAGCTTCATCCTTTTATTTGGTTTAGATAGATATCGGTCGCAAGGCTGTGGTAGTTTGCCTTCCCAGCCCTCACCATACAAAACACATTTAGTAAAACCTTCTTTCACCTGCAAAGAAATACTAGAACTTCAAATTCTAAATTAATAAAGGAAACTAGACTATAAAAATACAAGACTTTTATTTCATATGATGGAATTTTGAGTAACGATACTCTTCTTCGAGGATCATAATTTTACCTACATGCCATATTTTAAAAAAGCTGAAGATAAATAGACAGATTATAATAAATAATTTTAAACTAGGATATGACGATTTGGGGATACATATTTTTAAGAATCGGGTATCCCGAAAAAGTTTCTATGTATTAAAACCTTAATTGCTCGTATAAAGGGCGAAAGAGTAGCTCGTATATTGAAGAGAAATGTAGTTTTATTAAGCAGAAAAAATTACATTAAATGAAACTTGCATAATAATATAGATTTAGTCAATGCGATGGATATAAAATATAACTGATGAAATTTTAATGGAATGTTTGAATGTACGAGTAAATGATTTTAATCCTTAGATTCTCAGAAAAGAGGAAAGCTATCCATTTGTGCATCTAAAATAACTAAATTATATTTTGTATAATACGTCAACGAAATGATATGTTATAAAATAAGTGTTTCTTCTTATTTTGTGAAAGAAATGACACATTATGTCAGAAATTTTATAAAAAAATTGTAATGAAAGTATTTGCTAATTATTACCGATATCTTTTTTTAAAGTTTCACTTACCATTTTAAGCAGAGCAATTGTATGCTTCTGACATTTTAATTTAAAAAATAAAGTAATATTTTAAATTTAAAGCTATAACTTTAGGCTAGTCTTATTAATAAATATATTGTTATAATTTTATGAAAAATTCCACGCACAAAGTTTTAAGTAAAAAGGATATTTAAAATTTATTTTCTACACATACATAGCTAAAAAAGAAAAATTACATTAATCATTGATGATTTTAAATACTATTTGTTAAAGTATAACAATTATGTAATTAAATACGCATATTTTAAAATGTTTGACCAGGAAAATCATCTTCAGTGAAAGAATCAAATATCCATTCACATGAGGATATACAATCTCTTGGTTAAAAGACTAATTTTTTATTTATTATTTACTTATTAGTGATTCAAATATATTCTGTGAGGGAAAGATTTACCAACACTCCTGTTAAAAATTTAAAAAAAAAAAAACAGTTAGCAGCAATGAAAAAAATGGAAAACCCTGAAAGCAAAACTACTGTTCTCAGTTTCCTCTACTAACCCAGAAATGTGTATAAATTATAGGACGATTATAAAATTATTTTCCGTGTTTGAATGCCTAATAAGCTAAACTAATGAACGGCATTAAACCAAGTTTAACACACAAATTGTAGAAAGCATAGATATATGAATTTCGAAAAAAACAAAAAAGGGCCGAAAGTCGCCGATAGAAGAGATTTTAGAGCTGCTGTCACGTACGCACCAGGAAGTGTGCACAATCTATGTACTCGTATTTTAAATTCAAGTGTGTACATGACAACAGCACCATTCATTCCTTTTAAACAGAACACAGCTAAGAAGTAAAGGTTCAGTATTTTTTAACTGACTGTCTATTTGTGTTTAATATGCATCTTACCTTACTTGAGCATGATTTACTTTTAAAACCGTTTTAGAAAGTCCAATGCTGCGGAGATTTAGAAGTCTTCATAGTGTATATAAACTCTAATGTCTGTTGTAGCGCTAAGAATACGATTAAAAAATTTCAAGAAAGTGGATCTCTAGGAGTTAGTATGGGCAAAGGACGAAATGCATTATCAGAAGTTGCCACTACAGTGTTCAGCGACACAAGGACTAGCAGTGACCCAAGCATTTGTGCAATATCTTGCCTTATGCTACTACTACCAGGAAAATCTTACGAAAGATGCTGCATTTCTGTTGATAAAAAAGCAGTAGTGTGCAAGAATTGAGAATGACAGATCATGATAAGTGCCTGATTTTCGCGTTAAAGTTTCTTGCTTGAACGGATATCGAAGGTTATTCATCTGGACTGAACACGGCCACATATATTTCGTTAAGTACTGAACAGTTTATTCTAGCATTTCGATAGTGAGAGAGTTATCAGCAAATGTTTTCCTACAGAATAGCTGCCTCGTTCCTCATACATCCCTCCTGTGGCTTTTGGCTGTGGGGGTATCTTAAGTATGCTGTGAATACTGTTGTTGTTACAGAATTTTTTGAAAGAGAACATAAAGCGGGCTGTTAAAGCATCTAGACCAGTGATGGCGAACTTATGGCACGCGTGCCACAGTCGGCGTGCAGAGCCTCATCAGCCAGGATGCAACTAAAATATTACTTCCTTAATCAATAATCAGAATAAAATGATACTATGTAATTTAAATAAGTGTTTTAGTCTGTTCTTGAACGTTTACTGACTTACTAATCACATAATGCCACTGGCATGGGGCCTAAGCCTAGATATAAGATTTTCATATATCGCCATAGAAATGATATACATATTTGTTGACAAAATTTATGACGTTTCAATGGTTTGCACTAATCATATTACTTGTTATATGGCAAAGAATACGACAAAGTTGAAGAAGCTAATGTTTGATAAGCGAATTCAGATTTATTGCAGACTGCAGGTAGGTTTTAATACTTTCATTATTAAATAGATTCCAGTTTTCAGATCTAAGCATTTTGAGGTAATTTATGCATAATTCTAATTTAATATCTTAATCGAAATGTACAAATATAATGTAAAAACATGCAATTTGATAATGTAGCAAAACACAAAACTTAGTAGGGAGACCAAGATTATTCACATGCGCTCAAGCCAAAAAGTCATAAGACCAGAAAAGTAGTTTCAATTACTAGTGATGGTGCGCCTTATATGTTGGGAACTGTAGTGGCCCAGTTATTGCATGAGAAATAATTATTTTCTATTTCATATATTTGTTCATGTGTTTAATTATTTTATAAAATTAACTTTAATATTTTGCTAATATTCATATTTATATTTCTTTTATGCTGAATGGCAACAAGTAGTTCATATTTATATTTAAATTTCTTTATGCTGAATGGCAACTAGTTCTGATTCATGGTTGCTTAGTTTTGGTTTCAAAACGTTGCTATTCTACTAGTAGCGTTGCATTTCGATAGCTGGAAAATAAAAAGCAGTAAACTTAGCTATGTGTTTATAATTCATGCTGTTCCTAATCATAAATTAATTTTAAACATTAGTAGCAGTAAAAATCCTTTCCGTATTTCAATATAACGGATATTGAACCTTGTAGGAAGAACAAAGCTAAATTTTCAGATTGAACAAAATACTTTTATTTGAATTTTAGAACAGAACAAAAAAATAAATGCAGCAGCTCTTAACTATTAAAATTTTTAAACTCTTAACTGCTACAGTTAAAACTCTTACAACTATTAAAATATAAAATCTTAAACTCTCTAAACAAAAATATATAAAAATCTTCCGAATCCTCTTCTTGTTGCCACACAGTAAAATGCAAGTTCTTGTCCTATTATTTATATTTCACGTTCTCTTTAAGTCACGATCTTCACAAGTCATGATCTTTACAAATCACGATCTTTACAAGTCATGATCTTTATAAGTCACGATCTTTACAGTAGCCAAGGCCATATCGTGTTGACCCTGATTAATTTTCGAAATGTTAACAAATGAAACTTCTGAAACTACTATGAAAGATACGATGCAGTCAGCGGAGCTTCATAAGGTGAGTGTAAAAATACCTCCTTTTTGGACTGATAAACCGGAAATATGGTTTTTTCAAGTTGAAGCTCAGTTCAAAATTAGTAATATCGTTTCAGAAGAAACGAAATTTAATTATTTAGTTTCACAGCTTGAGCCTAAGTTCGTCGAAAATATTTGGGACATTGTAACGAACGATAGTGCCACAAAATATTCGGATGCTAAAATTAGGTTGCTACATTTATTTAAAGAAAGTGAAAATGTACGGATTAAACGTTTGATTACTGGTATCGAACTTGGAGACATGAAACCAAGCCAACTTTTGCTGCAGAAGTTGAGATCAGTTGCTACTACAGATGTGTCTGAAAATCTAATCAAAATTTTATGGCTGGTGAAGCTATCTGACTCAATAAAAAATATATTATTAGTTAGTGATGAAGATGTAACCAAGTTAGCGTCTATGGCAGATAAAATTAGTGATATGAATCGGAAACCAGAAGTATTTAGTGCTAATGCTCCTTCCGTTATCGCAAATGATTTGTTGCAAAGAATTACCTCTCTTGAACAAAAAATTGATCAAGTAACCATTCGCTCAAGACGTAGGGACTCGGATTTACGTATTTCACGTTCACAATCTCGAAGCTGATCTCGTACACGATATGACCCTACTGGCAAATTTTGTTTCTATCATTTTCGATTTAGAGCAAAATGTATTCCAATGAAATGCCGGCCTCCGTGTGCTTGGGTAAACAACGATTCCCAAAACCAGGAAAACTCGAATCTGCAGTAGGTTCAGCGCCAAACGCTTCTGCAGAAAATATGAAGGATTGTCGCAAATTTCGTTTATTCGTTCGTGACCGAAAATCAAATTCACTTTCTTATTGATAGCGGAGCTGACGTAAGCATAATTCCTGCTACTTCACAGAATAAATGTAAAACTGAATACAAACTGTATACAGCTAATGGCACAGATATTTCGAACTCTTGATTTGGGATTACGTCGTGAGTTTCAGTTTCCATTCATAATTACTGATGTCACAAAAGGTGTTTTAGGAGCTGACTTCTTCACAAATATAAATTTCTTATCAATGTAAATAAGAAAAATTAATTGATGGCGTACACAGCTTTGTGTCCCGTGTGATGTCGCTGCTATTTCCACTGATTACTCAGTAACCACATTAAATAAATCCATAAAAATTTTCGATTTACTGTCGAAATATCCCGAAATTTCTAAACATAACCTTTTTCCTACACACATTAAACATGGTGTTACACATTTTATTACGACTGATGGTCAACCCATTTATTCAAAGGCACGGCAAGTCGATTCAAAACGCTTAGCTATAGCTAAAGAGGAATTTAA